TCAGTCAGTCAGTCAGTCAATCAATCTGTCAATGAATGAACTAACTAACTAACTAACTAACTCAGAGTGACTACTAAACCAACCAACTAGTCGTTTGTCAACAAAATAACTAAGTAAATAACTAAGTAATAACTACACTTGGTCAGATGGTCCCGAATGCACCACAGCCGTCAGGTGAGCTGTTTACCTGTTCAGGAAGCGTGATGTCATACCGTGAACCAGCTGGATGACATCACCATGACGGACAGGTTGAGGAGGCGTGTCCACCACGAGCTCCTGTCTGTCAGAAACACAGAGACCAATCAGATGAGGACTATGTCGCTCAACATGCCCTGAGTAGACAGGTGACCTACCTGCCAGACTGGTGACCCACCTGCCTGACTGGTGACCCACCTGCCAGACAGGTGACCCACCTGCCAGACAGGTGACCTACCTGCCAGGGTGTTTGATGATCCACCAGTTGTTGACATCCTTGAAGGGGTAACAGGTGACCTGTTGCTGGTGGGAGCTGCCCCGCCCATTTTCATACCTGCACAGAGGAGGTCAGGTGTGTCAGACTCTGAATGGGCGATTCTGATTGGCTGCTGGGTTTGTGTGAGTTGGCAGCACCTGATTGGGTAGTTGGCCTTGTGTGAGTGGAGCCAGCAGGGGATTGGCTGGGAGGCGGCGCTTCGCAGAGTCACCTGACTGCCATAAGCAACTTCCAGAGGCTGACCCTGAGTGATCCTGGAGAGACCGCCCTGAAGCACATGATCAATCAATCAATCAATCAATCAATCAATCAATCAATCAATCAATCAATCAATCAATCAATCAATCAATCAATCAGTCAATCAGTCAGTAAGTCAGTCAGTCCATCTAATCACCACTGAACCTTCTAAAAACATACCTAGAACCTGTTGGAGTACCTCAACAACCTCCTGATGGACCGCTTAGTTCACCTGCATGACCTGAGAACCTTCTAAACCTCTGGAGAACCTCATAAACCTCTGGAGAACCTTCTAAACCTCTGGAGAACCTCATAAA